CAGGGTGGTCTCAATGTCACAGAGATCCACCAGCCTCTGCCTCCTGAGTGCTGGGATTAAAGGTGTGCGCCACCACGCCTGGCTAATCAATTGTTCTGAGTGGAGGCTCAAGGGTTCCTGCACCTTGGAGAGTATGACTTAAAGTTGATCACTGTAAGTTAATTTTGACAATTCTAGAGTACACTCTATCGATATACAGGTTCAGGATTTTAACATCTATTGTTATAAGCTATACTGGATTATGGATTTGAATGTTGGTCTTGATGGATTATGTTTCTTCTTTAGGGAATTCAATTATAAGTGTGTTGGGTCTTCTCCATCTTCTGTACATATTTTTTTCCAAGCACTTTACTTTCTCATCATTTTGTTTTAGTCCTGAGTCTTCATTCTCCTTGCCAGTGTCACCTTTGTAAACTCTGTTGACTCTACTCTCTTGAATACCCAGGTTACTTCTTACAATCATTCACTTTCCTATAGTCAACTCTCACTCACAGCTGCTTGTTCTGTGCCCACTTCTGCTTTGCACTGAATTTCTGATTTGTGTTTTCTCATCTGTCGTTGCCTCCCTGATTTTATTTGGTTTGTGCTCTCAAGTTGAGTTTTAAATGTTTCTATCAGCTGAAGAATTTAATTCTCAATTTGTTTCCTTTTAAAAGTAATTTTGTGAGGTGTGGTGAGGTGGCTCTGGGGATTAAAGGTACTTGCTGCCAAGCCTGATCCCAGAGACCTGCATAGTGGAAGGAGAAAGCTGACTCCTGCGGGTTGTCCACATGTGCACGAGGCACCCAGACACACAACAAATTTAAAAATAATTTTGCATGAATATTGGCTGCTTTTTCTGCTCATTCTCAAGATGTTGGGTTTTCCTGGGCCACATGTTTCTGCAGTGAGGTTGGAGAAGTTGAGTAGCTTATTGGGCTTCTTAGTTCAACAGCTCCCTCTTCAGTTGGTGTACTGAAATACATTTGTTTTATATTTACTTCAGACAGGACTTTGACACAACTAAACCCAGTTCACATGGTGCTGGGTACAGAACTCAATATACTAAACAAGCATTCTACCAACTGAAGTACGTGACAAAGCCAGTGAAATCCACCCCCTCTTGGAAACTGGGTCTCCCTGTAGCCCCAGCTGGGCTAGAACTTGCTATGTAAACCAGGCTGGCCTCAGTCTCAGAGATCTTCCTGCCTCTGCCTCCTGAGTGCTGGGATTAAAGGGCGTGTGCCACCATGCCCTTAAAATACATTTCTTAATGAATGCTGTCTTTTGGGGGGTATGGTTAGAGAGAGTTCGGTGTCTTTTATTTCATGGAATCTTTGTTTCTGTGGGTTTCTTTTTCTACACAAATCCTGTGTGGCTCCACTTCCACGGGGCTTCAGAGCTGGTTCTAATCTCATACTTCCTCACTCAAATGACTAGAAGTTTACAGTATTGTATTTCCTGGTTCTGTGTGGATTAAGTGAAATTTTGATTCCTGCTTCTGTTTTCCATGGTTTTTAGAAGGTGTATAGAAGTTCTCAGATCTACGTAGCTATCTTCACAGTCCTTACTACTGAGCTAAAACTTGTAAATACCAACATTTATAAATTTTTAGGCATGACTTTCATACAGACACTATGCAATAGCCCTGTTTTATTGGCTTCATACTAGAGACACACAGAGAAATTTTTATACAGAGAAGATACAGCCTCTGACCAGAGGGCTGGTCAGATGGCACAGTAGGTAAAGGTGCTTGCTGCCAAGCTTGACAACCTGAGTTTGACCCTTTGGACCCACATGGTGGAAGGAAAGAACCAACTCCTACAAGGTGTCCTGACTTCCACACACATACCATACACACATAAACTTTTTTTTTAAATAAAGGAAAACTAAAAATAGCAAAAAAAAAAATCAAGAATATTATTCAAAATCAAAACAAACACAAAAAAAGTAAAAATAAAAAGAGAAAGAAAAAAAGAAAATGGTTTAGGTCTCTAAGCAACTTTACCCTTCCCCTTTACTTACTGCCCATGTTGGACTAATAAAGGGTTTCCACGTAATGAAAGATATATGGTGAATATGTCCAGGGTAGTTGGTGCATCCTGCTGTTTTATTGGCTCTATGCTAGAGAAACACAGAGAGGTTTTTATACAGATAACAGGCTGGTGAGAAGGCTCAGCAGGTGATGGTGCTTGCCACCAAGCCCGTCCAGAGTCATGTGAGATGGTATGTTTAATGATACTACATTTAATGGATCTGGAGTGGTCAGTGTATATGGGAAATCTCTGAAGACAGCAGCTGCTCCAGCCTCACAGACTTGGATTGTGGCTATTCATCTCTTCACTCCTGATTGTTCATTGCCAGGAAGTTGTGTCCCTCTCTCAAAGTTCATGGCCTTAGATGGAGGTATACAGAACATCAAGCCCTGATCAGATATAAGACTTATTCCTTTTCATGGAAGCCCTCCAGGCTTGTTAAAGGACTGGCCCCAGAATCCTGGCTAAAAGAAAAAGCCAACTGCAGGAGAAACACAGCTGCTCAGTTCCTTGACACTTCCAAGTGGCACAGTTCCACATCCCTGTCATCCTGACCAAGAGCAGAGATACCTAGATTGTGGTTCCTCCAGGTATCTGGATAATGAGAGGATGAGGAAGAATAGCTGTCTAGTCATAAGTGAGCACCAGATTTGAAGTCCCTTCAATCACTTCCTAAGTGGGTGGGCTTAAGGTCTCCGAGCATCAGATTCATAATGGCAACTGATGCATTGGCCTACTGCTCATCAGACAGTCCTCAGTTGTAACGAGTGCCTTCAATTACATATGCATCTATGCACATACATCATTTAAATGAGTTTCCTTGAGTATGGGTATGGTTGCCATTTCATTACTGGATGCTTACCAGTTCACTGCTTGAAATTAATATGGAACTAGGTATTTTGTGGGAAGTTGAAGCAAGAGGATAGCCAGAGTCAAAGCAGCTTGGGCCACAGAGTAGGGGAAGAGTGGGAGGAGATACCAAACCCAGCTGAACTCTAGAGGGACAAGCTCAAGTGATTTGAACAGGTAGCGCTCTAGGATAAACACATTAACTAGAATTCTGCCATCTTCTTTGACAGTCTCCCCACCCCTCACCTTACACATCCTAATTCTCTTCAGATTCTGGTCTAACCAGCAAGACCCTCATCCCTACATCCTGCCTTTCTAATCTGAAAGTCTCAAACTGGTCCACAAGGATCTGCTGCTTGGCCAGTGCAATGTTTAAGATTTAATTGTCAAAACACAAAAAAATAAATGTTTGTCCTCTGGAAAACTTGAACAACTCGGGCAACACCGACTGGCTCTGGTTAGTCACAGCCAGTCAATCCACACTGCCTCGGTCTACCTCATTTCCTCATCTTGTTCCTCACTTCTCTCCTGGAGGCATTTACTTTTTCTTTTCTCACTACATCTTAGTTCACGTCCGTTAGTGTAACAGTTTGTTATGCAAATCTGATGACATAATTTCTGGCAGTCTATATTGTTTACCTTTAGCAAAGCTCAAGTCCTTTCTGAGCCTCACCTGTCTCCCCAGCCTGCCCGCTGCAGTGGGCTCTGCCTGCCATGCAGGCTCAAACACACGACACTGCATTCTCTTTCTAGTATCACTTGGCTCAGTCATCGACTCCTTTGGTCTCTTCTTGGCCAGCCAAGAATCACTGCTCTGTTCTCAATGTCTCTGTTAATTCTAATAGTTGTATAAAGTTATATAATCATTCCCAGGTCCTTAAGACTGATGAAGTCAAGGGCAAAAACTAGGCATTATTCATCTTTGTAACCTTGGAACCTAATGGTGTTTGATAAGAGCATTAGTTATAACTGAGTAAGATACACTCCCAGGCCCAACTCCTTCAGTGCACTTTGGGTACATTACGCTGTGGTAATAAACAAAGCTTTTGTTTCCACACGTACTACTCACTCACTGTGGACCAGCCTCCTCTGCTCTAAGTCTATCCTTTAGGATCTAGTCAAAAGGGCCCCAGGGTATTGCCAGAGAGAAGTAAAGAGTGACCATGGCATCTTCCAGCTAAGGCTGAGAAGTGGCACAAGGTGTGTCTGCTCTCATTTCAATGGGTAGAACAAGTCATATGTCCAGGTATGAAGCCCAGGGAACCGGGATGCCAACTCTTCCCCCAAGTGTGTGCCTTAAGCCAGGCATGGTGGCACACACCTTTGATCCCAGCGCTTGGGAGGCAGAGGCAGGCAGATCTCTGTGAGTTCAAGGCCAGCCTGGACTACATAGTGAGTTCCAGGTCAGCTGAGGCTATAGGGTGGCCATGTCTCAAAAAGATAAAAAAAAAAAGCCAGGCGTGGTGGCACATGCCTTTGATCCCAGCACTCGGGAGGCAGATGCTGGCAGATCTCTATGAGTTCAAGGCCAACCTGGTCTACAGAGTGAGTTCCAGGACAGTTGGGGCTACAGGCAGACCCTGTCTCAAAAAGACGAAAAAAAAAAAGTGTGTCTTGAGTATGTTGAACATCAATGCAACCTACCACATTGCCATCCTCTCTAGATTCCCCTTTCCATTCGTCTCAGGAGCATGGAAGGCTGTGGAACCTGCTTCTAGCTGGGTTTAGCTAATGGGAGGCCCCATAGAAGAGGGGAGTCCCAGGCTGGGAAAGACCAGGGCCTGCACCCGTTTCCTCAGGCTTCTCCTGAGGAGGCAGTACTTCTTTCATGGCTCCAGCTCCCAGCAGACAACCCTGCAAGGGTTCCTGCTTCTGTTTAAGAAAAAAATTATAACGGGTAAAGGGGAAAGACACACAAAGAACTTAAAGGCACACAAATAAGGCAACGTGACAAGGCGGAAAAGCAAATGGGACTTGGAACGTAATCTTGGTTCAGCACCTTGCTTGCCGCCATACTTTATTATCATGCACGTCGTCCGCACACTGGAGACAACTGCGGGTAGCGAAGGAGCTACAGAATGGCAGACATGAGAGAACTTGTGGAGACACACGTTGTCAAGTATAAACAGCCACACAAACACTGAATGAACCGATTAGTTATTGAAGCAGAAGAAAACTTTATTTCTATTAAGTTGAAGCGCATGAATCAATCTTCAAGCAACAAACACAAAAATCAATACAATTAAGTCGGGAGAATGTATACAGAACAGACCCCAGGCTTTGATACTCTGAAGTAAGCTGACTCGTAAACATTTGGCTCCTGGGAAACTTGAGCTGACATTTCACAGGACAGTAAACCGAAGACAGGTGGCACCGGCTTAGAAGACCGCTTTGAACTAGGATCACAGTGAAATGCCATCGTAACTTAACAATTTCCCGAGATCTGTTCACCCCAAAACAAAAATATATAAAAATCAGTAGTACAAATTCTCATAAAACTAGAGAAGCCTTCTGAGCCCTAACATTTTTTACAGCTTATAGAAAAGGCAGTTTTCATATTTCTTCCCTTTTCCTTAAATACAAAACAGTTTGTGCCCCAGGGAGAAGCGTCTAGGTGGACTGCTCCTTTCAAAGATTTTAAACAAGAAACTTTAAAGACACCACACTTCCTTCAACTGCCAGTCACAGGGCAGCCTTTCCCTCTGGGCAATGTCTTAGCCTGTCTTTCTCACACCTGTCAAACTGGAGAACTGTCAAACTGAGGACTGCCCTGAGCCACTCAGATAACGGCATTTATTCTGGTAAGAACTGTGCAGTTTGCTAACCACAGATAAGAGATGGCATTTATGCACAATTTTAATGTTTCAGTGGATACAAGTTTTCTTTCATAGTTGAAATATGGCTTTGTGGTTTCCTGATACCCAGGACTTCTTACCTGGAAATCAGGTTAGGTCACTTACACAGAAAGGAATGGTAACTTAAGGTCAGACCACATTCTTACATTAAGTTTCCTCTACTGAGTCCCATAGGATATCAAATATACCAGAGAGGTACTAAGATGGGAGGATAGAAAATGACTCATAAGCTGCACAGGATCCTACGTGACAAACTTCCCATCAAATGCAGGAAGACTAGAAATGGGGCCTCAGTGCAATTACCACCCTGACCTGCTGAGGGCCAGCTCCAGTCTCAGCAGCAGAGCTCAGCAAGCAGAGTCCAGACAGGAGCCAATGCACTGTTTCTCTACTCATGAGACTAAAGTGCTCCCTAGGGAAAGGCACAAAACAGGCCTTTTGCAATCCCCTGGCCAATCCCTATGTGATTAAATAAATAAGATTATTTCAATTTTTAAATATAAGGAGACAAGATCATGAAGATACTGATTGCACTGGGGAATGATTTCATTAGACAATGCATGACACAGGAAGAGCTCCAGTAACACTCTGAAAGATGTGCTCTCTAATTTAAGTGAAGGGCTCCAAGAGGCTTAAGTTCTTAGCCAACTCAGGTTCCGGTGAACTCCACCTTATAAGAACCATATCCATGAGTTTACACAGCATCTATCTAAAATTACCCATCTTAACATTTTAGTTCTCAAGGAAAGCCAGGAAAACCCCTGAGAGTTCCCATGCCCTTCCTACCTTTAGCCTTCTCTACAAAACAGAGGGGTGACTTGGGTGACACGGGAGCTCATTTTGAACTTGGCTGCAGGGGCTGATGGTGCGAAGGTGGCAGGAGAGTGATTCCTGGGGAAGATGAGGCAGGAAGCAAATCTCCCCTGGTCACTGCCATGACTGTTACATGACAAGCAAAGGTGGAAGCCTGGCGCTCAGAACTGCACTAATGTGTGGTGTCACCCAGGGTCACCCTGTATTAGGTGCTCCATTGGCATTTCTTTACCTGTTAGCACATTCAGAAACATTAGGTGTTCTCTGCAGCCATCTGAGGCCTGTTAGGCAAGAGAGTGATTTGTTCAGATGTCAAGGAATAAAACAGGGTTCGAATAGCTCCATGAAGCTTAGGCCGCACTAATGTGTGGTGTCACCCAGGGTCACCCTGTATTAGGTGCTCTATTGGCATTTCTTCAGATGTCAAGGAATAAAACAGGGTTCGAATAGCTCCATGAAGCTTAGGCCTCTCTACAGGACCAAGGCAGGGGATGACACAATACCTCCAAAAGAACAACCAGGGAACATGGGCTTGCAGGCTGGGCAGATTAGCCTCGGCACCCGCCTGCTTCAAAGCTTTGTATTTACAAAGGACCCAGTTCAGATCCTCCAGCAGCTCCCTTTGCTTACCCAAGGAGAATAAAGAGCAGTCTCAGGCTGGCACTTCAGTGAAGTCTGCTACTCTTGCTATGGACTTGTCAGTAGATCTAAGCAGGCTCAAGGCCTGGGTTGCTCGGGGAAAGACACTGTCAATATTCAGTAAGAGGCCCTGGCTTCTAAGGCAGGCAAACCTGAGTGTGAGTTGCAGCTGTACTGTTAACTGGCAGCAGAAGCCTGGGGCAAGACTTCAAATCTTGGACACACCTTTTTTGTTTATACCAAGAGGGATTGGTATGATGCTGGGAGAATTCACCTAGATGCTCATAACAACTCTAACAGGGCACATCGTACTTTGTAGGCCTTCATAAGAGCACCTGTCTTAAGTTTCTTGTACTGGAGGAATAAACAAACCAGTGTTTTCCAAGTTCTAAGCAAGTGGATCATGGAAAGCAAAGTGAATGAAGAGCTGGGTAGAATCACTGAATGTAAGATCAGACTGGAGGCTTAGAGACCACCCAGACTCTGCTTACATGTGAAGGAACTGCATGCCTGGCATTAAAGGGAAAAGCAAGATGCTTCTTTAATTTTACTTTTGACAAGATTCAATAATAACTTTTATTTTTATAAAACCATTTAGAGAAAAACAGTGAGTTTGTTACAGAAAAACTGAAGGCCATTGGACAGGAATCAGCATTGTGTGTCAAAGACCATCGAAAAGACACTCTTTGCCTCTTGCTGGTCTCACCAACATCTGCTGCGCAATCTCAGCACAGCAGTCATGGCTGAGACTGTTACAGAGTGTCCCGTGCTTACTACCAGAGTCTATTAACCCGGAAGATAGTCATTTCCCATTCATCTTCCCCCAAACTCTACAGAGGCGAAGAAAGAAGTTCGAAGATTTTTTAAAGAATCTCTTTAGAATTATCCCTAATTCCTTTAACACTCTCAAGTTTGTGGAAACTCTCTCATGGCAACCCTACTCTAATGTATACATTTCCCACATCTGACCTATTTTTATCTATACCTGGTTCCCCAGGAGGCCTGATATCTGTGTTCACCCAATCCCTACCAACAGACATCCAAATCTCCCAAAGTGCTCGGCATCAACACGATGGTACAGTGATGGTCACAGGCCTGGACCCTGCATCTCTACTGCAGAAGCTTACAGAGTAAACAGATTTCTCTGTAATTGAGAGGATGAGGACACTGGTGTACATTCCCACCAAGGCAGCTAAGGTAGAAGGCATGCACATGGAGGGATGAGCGGAGGGACCACTGGAGTCTGAGCAGTATAGTAAGGAAGACGGACTGGTTAGCAAACAGAACATACGGCAGTAAATGGACTGGGGATACACAGCACACCTTCAGAACATGAGTTACATGTTTCAGTACCACTAAAGTGCGAAATATGACCCCTCCCCAACGTATCAGTATGAGATGTTAACATGCAATCATGCCAGGAATAAAGGATGCTCCCTGGAGACAGGCCTGATGCTGGAAAGGAGGATATAAAATTTTTAAGGCAGTAGAAGAAATGCCATTGTTATCCCCAGAGGACAGCGAGACTTAAACAAGGTGGCCAACAAGTCTGGAAACCAGGAATATCTTTTAACAAATGCTTTATTGATATATAATGATTGACAAAATATTAGTATCTTCATTTCTGGACTTTATGGCCACCTACAGACCGCATCTTTGGAATAGGAAGAAAAACAATATTCTGTGTTCCCATAATGGTAAAGTTGTTATAACTCAACATAGGTACAATGTACAATTTGTGCAATAATTACCTCAGACCCAGAGACCCCATTCCCTTTACTGTACTTATCCTCTGCTTGGGTCACTCACAGGAGAAAGACACTGTCAGCACTAACACTTAGCAGCATGTTCACTATTCATCTAACCGTATCGTTAGTCCAGAAGTGCCATATGGTCTGATTTCTAGCTCTGTACATAAGATACGATCATCATTTCCATAAGTGAGCCATTCCCTTGTTTTTCTGAGAATTCCAAAAGACTTAGGAATCTCGGGTTTTTTTTTTTCCACAATGAAAGGTACAATAAGAGTCAGAGCAGCTGTTTAAAGTGAGCTCCTCTGCCTGGCTCAGTTCCCAGTATGTAAAGGGACTCAACTCGGTCCCTAAGCTCTTAGTTCATAGAAAGAAGTTAGAGGGATTTTAAATGTAGTAACTATCAGGGAGCAAACAAGTCATGAGGAAACACAGCAAATAGAAACCAGGATGTCTGAGGAGGAGGGAGACGTAGTCACTGGAAAGAAGCGAACCACTCAGTACAATCAGCATGGATTCAATTGTCATCAAGGGGACACAGAAGAGGACTGGGACAAAGTGAGGTCCAGAGCCCTTCGAGTTCCCAGGCTTACTACAGCGATGGTTCAACAGCCTTTGGAAAGTAGGGAGAACCAAAGCTTCCACCATCGCATGCAAAAAGGCTATGACAGCAAGATGGCTGTCAACCCCCACCTACAGCACAGTGGAAATCCAGTCTGTACTGGCTTTCTTACAAAGGGCGTGGCACACTTGCAGAGGTGGTTTTTCTTCATGAACTCTTTCTACCCACTAGTTCCCTTATCACTTCACCATTAAAACTTGAAAAGATGCTACAAGCTATCTCAGCTAGCTTCTAATTTGGGCACGGCACCAATACTACACGCACGATTGAATGAACAATCACGTCTTCCGGTTCTTCCAATGGTGGGCTCAGTATGCTTCTTTGGATTGAATAGGTGTGATCTTGTTGGAGAAAAGTGTGTAAACATAAGGCCAGATTTTGTTAGTCTCCGTTCCAGAAAACTGGTGGAGTACTCCTCGGCTCCTGAAAAAGTCCAAAAATAAAGGTGATTTAGGCTTTTTTTTTTTTTTTGGCCTTTTTTGAGACCTGGAACTCACTATGCAGACAAGGCTGGCCTTGAACTCAAAAAGATCAGCCTGCCTCTGCCTGGAAAAAAGGTATGTGCTACCATGCCCCACTAGGCTTTTTTTTTAACTTCACATTAAGACAGCTGAGGACCCACGAGAGCAGAAAGTAGGCACAATCTCCTGGCTTCTGTTTTTATAGTTTTAACTTTTGCCAAACTCCCTACAGACACACTCAGACCTAGTCTACCTAAATCACTTATTTACATGGCATTGTCAAAACATCCAAGCCAATTAAATAGGCAAATGTGAGCCAAAGGTAGAGCTCTGAGGTGGGGTACCTGCCTAGCAAGCATGAGGTCCTGGCTTCTATTACCAATCCTACCCCACCCTCAAAAAAAAGAGAAAAGTCTAGACACAATTTTACAGACAGATAACTGGGTTTAAGTCCTCATGTTCTGACAGTTTCTGGGCTTTATCTCTCATATACAACTCTACCATTTCATTGGCCTTCTGGGAGGCAATAAGTCTTTAGACTTCATCCAACTTGAAGAAACACGACCCGCTTCAGCCCAGTGTCCTTCCTAGCAGGCCAGATACTCTAGGAGGCCCTCTGCAAACACACCGACACCCACTCACTTGTACAGTTCAATGACTGGCTTTGCTGCATCTTTGTATCGTCTCAGCTTGGCAGCCACGGCTTCAGGTTTATCATCCTCCTGCTGGACTAGACGCTCACCAGTGATGTCATCAATCCCCTAAAACACCAAAGAAGCCAGTTAACATTGCCAAAGGCAGAATCTTCCCAAAGTCAGAATTCTCCAGCGCAAAACCACACGATCAACTTGAACTCTAAGCACATGTGGAATGGGCCTGAGGCTTCACAGTGCTGATCTTATTTCCTTAGGATGACATTAAATCTTCATTAGCTGCTCACATCTTTATAAGCCTGCTACTGATTCATGGTACTTTCAATTTAGTCTAAATTCTTTAGCCAACAGCATTCCTTTAGCCAATGTCACTCTGGCCCATAAAATATTCCCCTAAACTGCCTTTCTTTCTAAACCAACTTTTTTGTATAGGAAACAAATGACTAAAAGAATCAAACTGGAGGCCAGGTGGATGGCTCAGGAGGTAAAGGTTCTTGTTATCACGCCGGATGCCCAGGGACCCACATGGTAGAAGGAGACAACTGACTCCTGCAAATCCATGTGTTGAAAGGAGTTCTCTAACCTCCACACATACCATGTCACACACGTATACACAAATAAATTACTGTAATAGAAAAGGCAAAACAACAATAAAAAAGAAATCAAACTGGTGGTTTAGTACCATCTCTGCCATATTTCAAACTACCTTGGAGCTTCTCTGAAATTTATCTTACTAGCTCAAATGACATGTCCTAAGGTGTATTTAAACAGGCATAATGCAAATATCCATGACTATCAGAGACAAATATTCTGAGAAAGAATAATTTTTTTCAACTTTTTTTTTTTGTCTTTTTTGAGGCAGGGTCTCCCTGTAAGCCCCAGCTGTCCTGGAATTCACTATGAAGATCAGGCTAGCTTTGAACACACAGAGATCCACCTGCCTCTGCCTCCCAAGTGCTGGGACTACAGGCATACTTTTTTAAAAAATATTTATTTTTTTTATTTTATGCATGTATTGCCCACATGTAGGTAAGTACACCCCTGTCATGCAATGCATTGGTCAGAAGAGGCAGTCAGATCCCCTGGGACTGTAGTTATGGACAGCTGTTAGCTGCCATGTGGGTGCTGGGATTCAAACCCAGGTCTTCTGCAAGAACAACCAGTGTTCTTAACTGCTGAGCTCTCTCTCCAGCCCCAAGAAAAAAATTTTTAACTTACAAAAACTTCATTTTCAGTATCTTTTAATCTCCCAGGATGCAGAGCTGCCTACAAATGGCACAGTGGTCACATTAGAATCTTGCCTCCATGCCCACAGCTGTTACTGTGCAGGGGAGAGCCACAAATACAAATCTGTCAGAGGCAGACTGGAGTAGAACCAAAAGGCTCAGGCAGCTCAAACGGATCATCAGAAACTGACCATGACTATGAAAAACATTAAAATTCCACTGTAGCTCAGGGCCTTGGGTTTATGATGCGCACTTATGACTTATGGGGGTCACATAATTATCACACGATGGGACAAGCGAGTTGGCTGGCTGTACTTGACATATATTCTTTTTTTAAAATATTTTAAATTTTATTTTTCCCAGTTACTTATTTAATGACCACATACTTAGAAGAAGCATTTCATTACAACAGCATTGATATATTCAATAACAAATTTTCTGAGCTAAGATGCATCTTTTTCAAAATTGGCTGTAAATTTTTAGGTTTACAGTTGAATTATTGCAGTTATACAATATTTTACTCAGAAAAAACCCTATAAGACATAAAATTAAATGACATGTTAAACTTTAAAAAAGAACTCCATTTCATTAATAAAATACAGTTTCATACAGAAAAATTCATTTTCAATGCAACTGACGTTAAGATGTTTGAACATGCATCTCTAATCTCTATATATCTGATTACAGCTAGTGACAGTTGGTTACTTTCTGAGCTCCTTGGCATCTGAACATGGATAT